TCTCGCTCCCCTGCCCCTCCCCCGCCCTCTCCTTTGACCACCCGCCCCACCTCGCCATCGCTCGGACGTCCATTCCCTGTGTTTTTTTCGGCCTCGTGCGTGGTTTTGTTCGCCCAATGATCAAGGACGCTCCTCGATGGTCCTCGCCGAAGGAAGAATGCACACGTCCGAGCGATGCCAAGCCACTCTTTCTCCCGTCCCATTCCGCTTCCCCGCCCACCATCCCCACGCCACATCACCCGCATCGCCGACACCAGATCCTCGGTCCGCCTCTCGCTCCCCTGCCCCTCCCCCGCCCTCTCCTTTGATCACCCCCCCAAAGGAGGAGGAGGAGGAGGAGGAGGAGGAGGAGGAGGAGGAGGAGGAGGAGGAGGAGGTGGAGGAGGAGGAGGAGGAGGAGGAGGGGAGCCCGTAGCCATTTTGGCTCAAGACTTAAACGTTGTGAAGGGCTATAGACGCCCGAGAATCAGCGATTAGGTCTGGGCCTGTCCGTAGCACGGCCCGAAGATTTGGAGCACAGCGCTCCTAGGCATCACGACCGCCCTGGCCAAGTTCATTGCCAGGGTCACCGCATTCCTCTTCTTTTCTGCTCCCGCTGCGGAGCCCCAGTCAGAAGGTTCCGTTGATGGCGCAATGGATGTGTGCATGGCAATGCAGATGCGGGCAGCAGAATTGGAATACATCGGTGAACTGCGTCAAGTGCAACGGTCATGGGAAGGGGTAGCGACCCCCCCCCGGGTCAGATACGACGCCCCCCCCTGGGACTCCTCTTCCCCTGGGCTCCAGCCAAGCCGACCTTGAGCAACCTCGTAATTGAGTCGAAGGGAAGCCCCTTCCCTTTGATCCCTCCCCCGCCGGGAGGGGGGGGGGGGTAGCGACCCCCCCCCCGGGTCAGATACGACGCCCCCCCCTGGGACTCCTCTTCCCCTGGGCTCCAGCCAAGCCGACCTTGAGCAACCTCGTAATTGAGTCGAAGGGAAGCCCCTTCCCTTTGATCCCTCCCCCGCCGGGAGGGGGGGGGGGGGTCGACCCCCCCCCCGGGTCAGATACGACGCCCCCCCCTGGGACTCCTCTTCCCCTGGGCTCCAGCCAAGCCGACCTTGAGCAACCTCGTAATTGAGTCGAAGGGAAGCCCCTTCCCTTTGATCCCTCCCCCGCCGGGAGGGGGGGGGGGGTAGCGACCCCCCCCCCGGGTCAGATACGACGCCCCCCCCTGGGACTCCTCTTCCCCTGGGCTCCAGCCAAGCCGACCTTGAGCAACCTCGTAATTGAGTCGAAGGGAAGCCCCTTCCCTTTCATTCCTCCCCCGCCGGGAGGGGGGGGGGGGTAGCGGGGGGGGGTAGCGACCCCCCCCCCGAGTCAGATACGACGCCCCCCCCCCGTACCGACCTTGAGCAACGTCGTCATTGAGTCGAAGGGAAGCCCCTTCCCTTTCCCTTCCCCGACGGGGGGGGGAGAGGAGGTCCCGGGGGGGGTCCCGGGGGAGTCCCGGGGAAGTCCCGGGTCAGATACGACACCTCCCTCCCCCACCTTCTCGTCCTTCTCCCCGTTCCCCCAAACCATCCCACAGCCCGTGCCTCTTGCTGCGCATTGCGAACAGGGTCGGCGGCACCGGCCGTCAGGCCTTCGCAATACATCGGTGAACTGCGTCAAGTGCAACGGTCATGGGAAGTCTTCCAAGAAAGAGAACGGCACCAACAACCACAAGGGCCGACAGAGATCCAAGAGCCAGAAGAGTCAGAGATCTACATCGGAGTCACGCTCATGGGAAGACGAGACGAAGTCCAATGGCGCCCCATATGTTCGTATGGCGACTCCAGCAGAAGCACAAGCTCATCCAGACTACCGTCCGTTGAGTTCGCGTGCCACGGAGTCGGAGAAGAAGGAGTACTACAGAGAGACTCGCTCCAGGCTGAACCTGCTCCAGCAGAGGTACAACTTAGCCTGGGCCATGCGAGAGCCAGTACAGAAGCTGGCCACCACTATATCCATTATGAGAAGGATGTTAATATCGGAGAAGAGCCTACATCAGCAGAGTGCCTGGACAGAGACCACGATCGCCAGGATGATGCTGCGCGTGGAAGCAGCCAACAAAGAAGTCTCCATGCTCAAGGACAACCTCCAAGCGAAGATCAACGTCAGAGACAACCTCCAGGACCAGCTGGACGCGCTGAAGCGCACCAAGATGGAGATCCACCAGCTCATGGAGAAGGAGAAGCAGCAGAAGGAGATGGAAGGCAGCACGGACATGGACGAGGACAAGCCGAGCCAGGGCGCGGTGGTCTTCCCAGAGCGCCCGACAGAGGAGTCACCTCCAGGCGCTGCCTCCACACCTGCATCGACGCCGGCCGCGTCCACGGCAGGCACAGCACCTTCGTGCGAGAGCATTCAGCACGCAGTCCAGCAGCAGGTCGAGGCCCACCTGAAGCCCATGGCCGACCAGATGATGCAGATGCAGCAGATGATGGAGGCCATGATGATGCGAGACGCGGTACGTTCATCAACGCCAGGGGCGATGGCATCTGGACATCACTCAGCGCCACCATCTCCTCAGCCGCCAACACCGCCAACCGCGGCTCCCAGATCGCCTCCATCGTTAACACCGACACAGCCATGCACCCCGATTCAGTTGACGGAGAATATTGCTCAGGACACAACATCGGGATGGATCACGGTGAAGGAGAGGGCAGCAGCCTTCGAGAGCGGCTCCGAGGGCGGGAACTTCTCCTTAGGGCCACGGCAGCGCAGCAGTCAGAGGACGTCAGCATCGAGGAGCCCAAGTGCCCGCACTCAAAGAACGAGAGCTCCAGGATCCTCCAGACGGCCAGCCAACGACAAAGGCAAGTCGAGGACAGCCATGTCAGCGTTCCGCAAGCCTCCGAGACGATCAGACGTCGAGACGGCCGCCAAGACAGCAGAGGATCACCGAGTTCCGAGCAGCGATGCCGCCCAGATGGATCCGTACGCAGAGTGCGAGTACTGAGCCTACATGGCAATGAGAGGGTGTCGGATGGGGAGAGCCCGACACCCAGCAGCATGCATGCAGACTCTAGCGAGCACACACCGCCACCCCAGTGCGGCCACCATGAATTAGACAGGCCCAGGTCTAAGGTGGCATTCGCCACGACTGTGCCTTTTCACTTCTTTGATCCCACCCCCGCCTCCTCTTCTCCTCCCGACGGTGGTTTGGGCAGATCGGAGGCGCAGAACCCAGACACTCGTTGGCGTTCGGTGACTGGAGGCCCCACGGGGCCGCAGATCCTCGACCTCGACAGTCGAATCCCGATCGAGGTCGCGATCGTGGGCGATGATCCTACCGATTCGATCAGATGCAATTTGGGACAGTTAGGATTGCTCACGCGCCTTCAACAAGAAGGGTGCCAGATAGAACTTGAGTTAGATGTCAACAGAGTGGGCTTGCACGCCCACGCGCAGCTCGGCTTGGACATGTGCCCGACTAGC